CTCATAGAGACTTATTATGTGATGGGCACTGGTTGAGGTGCTTTCGTTTTCAGGCTTAACAACAGTCTTTTGAGGCAGTTGGTATATTTATTTCCACTTTGCAGATGGGAAACTGAGGTAGAGAGGTGTAGTCATTTGTCCGGGGTCCCTGTGCTGGTAAGTGGGAGAGCTGGAGTTTGAACCCAGGCGGGCTCTGACTCTGGCATCTGTGCTGTTGGCTTCTGTCCTGCACATGCCTCTTTAAGATAGAGCCTTTCGTTGCCAGGTTCTGCTTGCCCCTACTTGGCTTATCTGCTCACAGGCGTTTGAATTAAAACACCGCCCAACGCTTGCACCTTGGTCCAGCCCTTTTCCTTGCTACCCATGGCCATGAGGGGACTTTGTCTTCTCTTAAGGCCCAGTTCAGGGCTGGGCACTACTGGATCTCATTCCCAGACAGAGCTAATTCCTTTCTTCTCTGAGTTTGTTCAGCCCTTTCTCTAAACCTTTCTTCCCACTTATATTGCTTGGCTAACACCAGCTCTTCTTTTGCAAGCCTTGGTTCTCCTCTCTTGCTCTAAATTTCAGAAGATTGTCTTTTTCTCCTTTCCAAGATTTCTGCCCATAGGATATATCCCAAAATGTCTATGTTGAGCTATTCAGCGGAGAACAACCCCCTTCATAAACATAACAACTAGTTTATATATTAAGAAGAAGCAAAGTGCAGTTTCTGTTTGGTTTCCACATTCTTGCTTGTCTTTTGATCATTCGCCCTCAGACCTGGGTCGGGGCTGGTGTCCCAGCATATTTCACTGTCTGGTTCCACTGTGGTGTAAGAAGTTCCCTTCATGCACTTCCAACTCCTTAGGCAGAATTTTTCCCCTAGACCCTGGAATGGTGATGGAAGGAAGTTTTGAGACCTCCGCGCTGCTGTAGGTTGCTTCGTCTGGCCAAGACCAGGCAACCTGCAGCCCACCAGGCCCTAACACTGGGCTTAGTTCTGTGTGCTCCAGGATTTTCCCACCTACTCTAAAGAGGTTTCAGGAAACTTTATGAATTCCAGAATGTTACTGGAGTGAATTTGAATCTTATAAATTCAAGGTTTCATGAAATATAACTTGATCTATATTTGACAGCTTCATTCTTTAGGTAGAAACCTCCTCCCAGTTGGTTTAGGAGTTCCCACTCATCACTGTTTGCTTTTAGGTTTTGGAGGACCTTGTACAATTCTGAAGCATTGTGGACTGGGGATGCCACCTGGATATCACTCAGCTCACATTGTTGTTCCATCTGGTGCTTAGTGTTTGGCCACTGCAGGATCCCCTGGGATAGCCTCTGTTCTTAGCTGAAGATAATGGATCCTGCAGGTCCATTAGTGCTCACTTCTATTGCTGCCGAACCCTTGAGTACATATTAGGCGCTGTGGAGAACAGAGTGTTTCTCAGGTCCATCTGCAAGGCACTCGTGCAGACCTCTCTGCTTTGATGCTTTATCAGGTACGTGAACCGTTCTGTTTTTCCCTCACCAGCTGGAGGCTGGAGAACTCTCGAACATCATTTAAGGCACATCGTCCTAGCCATAGCTTGTACCCACTCTTCCCTAGGCTCTTGCCTCTCTCCAAGGTTATGCTTGGGCACAAGGCACAGATCAGCCGCACCACATTTCACAGACCTGCCTGGGGGTTTGGCCTCCCAGAGTTCTTTTTCGTTGTCCCCCAGATATCTCTCCATGTAGTCCTCATCTCATCTCCACTACTGTCTCTTCGCCTCTCCTGCCACCTAGCCTGGGAGATCACTTTCTATTCTTGGAGACTTCTCATTCATAATGTAATCTTCTAAATCAGTGTTTGTTTTTACAGATGGGGCCTTGCTCTGTCTCCCAGGCTGGAGGGTAGTGGCGCAATCATAGATCATTGCAGCCTCAAACTCCTGGCTCAAGTGATCCTCCCACCTCAACCTCTCAAATAGCTGGAACTACAGGCGTCACCACCACGCCCAGCTAATGTTTTTTAGAGATAAGGTCTCACTGTGTTGCCCAGGCTGGTCTCAAACTTCTGGCCTCAAGCAAGTTTCCCAGCAGCTGGAATTATAGGTATGAGCCACTGTAGGTAACTAATGTCTATTCTTAAAAATTCTCCAAAAGATATAGGCTTTTAAAAATCACAAGCAGAAAGATACTCCCATTTCTTTACTGGTTTTTTTTTCTTCCTCATAGCCCTTCACTGAAGCAATGACTACAGAAAGGCTCAGGTCCTGAATTTACTTTCTGGACAGCAGGGATGGAGGGGAGTAGTGAGAAAAGCTGAGGAAAACAGTAGATTTTGGAGAAGAAAGGTTTATCTATCATGCCACATGATACCACGTAGCCACGTGAATGGCATCCCATACTGGACAGGGCTTAGCAGCTTCTTAGGCCCCCGCTGGTCTGCATCAGCCTTTCTAGTACAATTCTGTGTTTTCCGCAGCCCCTTGCAGTTCTAGAAATCTAGTTTCTGCTTGGAGACCTCTCTAGGGGATGATAACAGTTCTTACCTCATGGACTTGTAGCAAGAATCCCGCAACCTACCCTAGCACTCACTGTCGGCACTTGCGAATAATAGCAATGCTACAAATGTTAATGACTGTTCAGTTCTCTCCATTTTCAGATTTCTAACAGTCTTGATGCTGGCTGTAGGAAACTGTTTTTCAATCTCTAACTTATCAGCACAGTTTTCAACATTAGCAGTTTTGCTTTTAGCAGCTTTCTAGTTCTTTTCCCACCCACCCCCTTCCTACCAACCCGCCTTCTCTTACTCCTGTCTTTTTTCCATGCATAAACAAACTGTCCCTTTTCTAATCAACTCTTCTGCCTCCACACCACTCTGTCACTATACAAACAATGCAGATGGCTGTCTGGAAATTCTGCTAACGCAGGTGAACATAAGCTAACAGGCAGAGGTGTTTCTGGAAAGCTATGGGCCAGTTGAGTCAGACCTGCATGCATTACATAATGGAAACCTGAGGTGGATACTCTTATAAAATGAACAGCCTTCTCATGTCTGTCATGGAAAGACAATTCACTTGTTTTACAGCTTTCCTATAGTTGAAGAAGCTCATATAAATCCTTAAATACTTAATGAAAACTTAATGTAACTAAAAACAAAAACTCACACAGTCCAGAAAGTAACAGAGCCAAATCTGCCATCTCATCATTCGTATTTCATCATTCAAACCCATCCTTGTCCTTGAGAAGTGAGTCCTACTATTAATTGATTGAATGAGTCCTCTATTAATTGACAGCAGTGTTAATGAGGGTTCACTGTGTCCACTCTAGAAACTTTGGTGAATACACTGATTCTCAGCTGTGCCCTGGGAGGTCTCAGCATTGCCCAAGATAGACTGACATTTTACTGACATTTTACAAAATTCAATGATGACTGCCTTCTTCTGGTTTGTAAAAGAATTTAAATGATAGTTAGAACCCTCTGCACACATGCACATATGTGTATGCCATGTGTACACACATTTATTTAATAAGAAGACATTCAAAATTTAAACTTTTTTGAGTGGTTGATGTCAGGGCACATATAAAAGTTGAATTATTTTATTAATATTCCTTTGCTCTGCTGCTGCTTATACTTGCCAGCAAACGAATGTTAATGGTATTCCTGAAAGAGCTGTTCGTTGTTGAGTCCATTGCCTCTTCTTGTTTTTCGTGAACACTTGCTCATGGTTTTATAATGTAGTGCTTGCCAACTCTTTTCATGATAGAGAATTTATTTACATGCACACACAGTGATGTACATGGTCTGAGGCACTGGAGTAAACAGCTCAGGAGTCTGGCTACCAAAAGGCTGAGGGAATGAGCACACCTGTATCTCTTCAGGACTCACCAGCATGCTGTGCACAGACTGGGAAGCTGTTATGGCTCATTGCAGACATCACATGATTTCTGCTAATGACATTGTTTCCTTGATCTTGTGATGGCATGAATGACTTCCGCTGATCACCAGTGTTCTATTTCCCACAAAAGGGTATTGTTACTCTCCAGCTGTTCCCCCCTTCTGAGGAACTTGTGGAGGGAGTGGAAAGAGGCGAATAAACTCGGAAGGGTTTTTACTAGGTGGGTGACTTAGTCTCTTCTCTCTGCTTTTCTTCTGCAATCAAATGACTTCCGATCAGGCAGTATGATATTCACGCCTTTCTGAAAAGCTTCTGGTTGTGGCTGAGCTGATCAGCTTCTGCTCGGGGGCCGCAGTTGACCATGTTGCTTCTTTCTTGCATACTCATTCCTTCCTCGTGTTCTCAAAAGAACAAAATACAAATGTATAAACTTAAAAGCACTTTAAAAATACTTTAAGCCAGGCTCGGTGGCTCAGCCTGTAATCCCACGCCTTGGGAGGCTGAGGTGAGTGGATTGCCTGAGCCCGTGGGTCGAGACCCGCCTGGGCAACTTGGTGAGACCTCATCTCTACAATAAAATCAAAAAATTAGCCGGGCCTGGTAGCATGCACCTGTAATTCTGGCTACTTGGAAGGCTGAGGCGGAAGGATCGCCGGAGCCCAGCAGGTCGAGGCTGCAGTGGCCGAGAGTGGCCACTGCACTCCAGTCTGGGCGACAGAGTGAGACTCCAAGTCAAAAAAAAAAAAAAAAAACTTTAAATGTAAAACCTTTCTCTCTTGTATTTGCATTCAAATAAAATATTCTTTCTCCACTCCTAGTATGTTATTGAAACTGTGATATGCTTATTTAGGGGGAAGAAGAGGGTCTGAAATCTAAAATTCACAAATCCTAGGTTTGAATCTCAGGACTACCAGTCATCCAATGAAACAGGCAAGTTCCCTCAATTTCTAAGCCTTCTCAGTAAAATGGGGCTGACGATATATGTCTCGTTTCCCTCTCAGAGCTGATCTGAAAGTGAAAGGAGATATCATGCATGAAAGTATTTTGTCAGCTCTAAAAGCAAAAGGTAACACAGTTTGTTACTGTGTTAAAGTGGCCAGTGAGACTTCTAGTCCATGTCCATTGCTTGCAAGAGTTCAGATGCTGAGACTTGGCAATTGTCACTCGGTGGTGACAGAACTGACGTGTGTTCTCCCTCTTTGTCCCCTCTTTTACCTGCAGAGTAACCTGATACACTACCTGGGACTGAGCCATCATCTTCTCGCACTGAATTTTATCATTGTTTCTTTTGGCAAAAAAAGCGCATGGTCGACTGCCCAGGTGAAGGTGACCGACACTGACTTTGATGGTGTGGAAGTCAGAGTGTTTGAAGGTTCTCCACGGCCAGAAGAGCCGCTGAAACGCAGCGTTGTTTATATCCACGGAGGAGGCTGGGCCCTGGCAAGTGCAAGTACGTCCTGGTCACCTTCCAATTGTTTGTTGTTGTGGTTGGTCCTGGGGGACATGTGTGATTGAGTTTCCTGGTGGGGAATGAGAAGGAGACCATTTGTCTTAGTGCCCCTGGCAGTCTTGGTTACCCCTGATATTCTGGCAAAATTTTTTTGAGGCGGGGTTTACTCTGTTGTCCTGGCTGGTGTTTAGTGGCATAGTTCACCTCAGCCTTGATCTCCTGGGCTCAGGAAATTCTTCCACCTCAGCCTTCCAAGTAGTTGGGACTACAGGTACTCACCATCATACCCGGCTAATTTAAAAATTTTTTTGTAGAGACAAAGTCTCACTGTGTTGCCCAGGCTGGTCTCTAACTCCAGAGTTCAAGTGATCCTCCAGCCTCAGCCTCTCAAGGTGCTGAGTTTACAGATGTGAGCCACTGTGACTGGCCCACAAAATTATTAATAAGGCCCCTTTTTTACTCACAAGAGGAACCTGGTTTGGGTGATAAATCAGATGGTTAGCCTATGTAAAGGTTTTTGCTTGTTGGTTGGTTTTTAATTCAGGCAGATTGTTTTGAAAATATCTCCTGTGATCTAAATTATAGACCAGCTTACTGTGAAATGCTGATAATAGCTTTCTGTACCAAAATAAGGTAAAGTTTCCTTTGGGCCAGAATACAAGGGAATTATCTGTAGCTCTTTTGTCAGCCTGTGTTTTGAAGGCATATTTCTTCTCTGGAGCCAAGATGGCTTTTAAAAAAATGGAGACATATTTCTATGAAATAGAGCAAGTATTTCTTAATACACATGTTGACTCAACATTTCATTTGCTTATGAAAGCAAAGCTCAAGCTATAAAGGGTATGCAACCATTAAAAGGAAACAGTCTTGGAAAATTCAAGAATATTTTTGTTAGAGTTAGATAACTTTCATGAGTAGAACACATCTAAAATGGCAGGCAGCCAAGTAGAGCAGCCCAGGGGAAAGCCTGCCAAGGAGGAAGTCGGGGCCTTATTTCTGCCTGTGATGATCATGGAGCTACATCCTCATCTTTAGCCCAGAGATGGCTTTTGGTTTTTTTCTAAAGATGGATCTTGCTATGTTGCCCAGGCTGGTCTCAAACTCCTGACCTCAAGCGATCCTCCTGTCTCAGGCACCAAAAGTGCTGGGATTGCAAGCATGGGCCACCAGGCCTGTAGTGCAGAGCTTTTGGCATTCTCTGCATTTAAAAATGATAGCAACTTGTTTTGTTTGCTTATGTTTTCATTATATGACTTATTTTTAATAGTGTGGTAAAAGTTGAACGTGTAACTCCTAGTAATCCATTTTATTTTACTCCGTCCGTTGCTTATTCTTTCATTCAGTGATTTGTCCACATTTTCAACAGATGTTCACTGAGTATTTAGGCTTACCCAAGACTGAGGGGATTGCTGCGGGGGGTGGGAACTTTCAGGGTAAAAGCTCAGATAGCTGTGGGCAAGCCTGGACCATTGGTCACTCTAATGTGTGCTAGGGGAGAAGAATAGAAAAATACACAAGGAAGTCTGCCTTAGAAAAGACTGAGTCTGAAGCAGGCAAGACATTACTCTGGAAGGCAGGAAGTGCAGGGGTCAGGAATGGTACAGATTGCAAGAGGCAACCTGACCTTTTTAACATGATTTTGTCTGGTCACTTCTGCCAGAGGAAAAGCTTGGACTGATGGGGAGGGATGCTTATGACTGTGTCATTCTTAAACTTCAGATTCTAAGACTGCCTTAGCATATAAATAAGGAAATATTTGGCTTTCTTTTGGCAGAAAATAGGTTTTAATTTATTGAGGGAACAACAAAATGTATATGATTCTAGGAAGGAAACTGCTTATTTGCTCTTATTTTGGGGGGAGGTATATACATTTGAAGAACTCTAAAATCAGAATTAATTTGGTGCATTTCATATAACACATTATGAAATAAATGTTCAGTTAAAATGTATTCAGAGCTAGTCCAATATGCATTTCCTGTTATTTATAGTAAATTGCATTTTATCAGAAATCAGATTTAACTTTTCATTTGTACATGTAACTCTATTAAGACATTTGTTCACATTTGCTTTTTATTATTTGTTTGTACTATTGATAGCTTAACTCCAAGTCTACAAACAATCCACAGTTAGCAGAATTTGTGACTTTAAAAATTAGGTTGGCTCTTCAATGTTACTCTGAGTTTAAATGGATTTGCCTCACTTCTTTAGAGGTAAATACATCTGTCCTCACATGGAACAAAATTAAAAATCTTATTCTTGGAATTTGGAATAATTCGGACTTGAGCATGGACCTTACTAAATTGTATCAGGAAATTCAAGACATGATGGTTGCTGAAGAGCAATCCTGGTCTACTGAATTGGCCAGTTCTATATTTAACAAGTTTTCTTCATCCATTGATCAAAAATTGTTAATGTCTATATTCATTAATATGGGAATTTGTGGAGCAGTGATTCTTTCATTGCTGTGTCTACTTTCAATCATTTTCAGAGTGTTAAAAAAGAGTATATCTCAGCTCAATACGGAGTTTCATGGTTTTGTGCTAAAAAATAAAAAAGGGGGAGATGTTGGGAGCCGGCCACAGAGGCCCACTGAGCATTAGGGATCAGGAAGGGCCATTGATCCCGAGACAACTAGGATGTGTTCGGGAGCTGTTGACCCAGTCCCTCCCTCCTTTTCCATTTGGCACAAGCTATCAGGAAAGGCTCTAGCTGGCTCTAACAGAAAACCCTGAGACCGGAACGTACACAGCTAAATCTGGGAGTATATTGATCCCATTTTCCATGGCTTATGGTCTTTTGCTTTATGACAATTTAAGTTTGACTTTGAGTCACATTGAGGAGTCTTAGTGCAGGTCACAGGTTCTCTTGATGTGACTTTCAGAAATTTATAGATACAGGTTTTAGAAAATAGTTTATATAGATTAAGAAAATTTTAGTGACCATTTTATTATAGAAGTGTGGTTAGTTCAGTTTGATTTAGGGGGGCCAGTGAAGTTTGTATTACGCTGGCTGGTGCTAGGAGAGAGTAACCATAGCACCAACTGTTTTATAGAAATCAGTTTGAATTAGCATAGAATAGTAAAAGGCAATATATCATTATGTTGGTTTTAGGTGTAAGAATTGAACAATGTTATGTAGCTATAAACAATTAAGGGCACATAGAAACTGGATAAGAACTTCATGTTTTTCCTTATGTTTGAAATATACATCTGCTTGAGAGTGGGGGGTGTCTTGTGTGCACCTGGGCCTGTTCATGTGAAAGGCACATGCTACCTTTTGTGTAACCATAGCAGTAGGAGTTCCCATGATGATAACTTTGCAGAGTTTTGGGATAAAAGCCCTGAGATTACACCCATTAAGTGGCTTCTGGTCACTTGAGCAGGAGTCCAGTCTCTTTCTCCCCCGCTTCTCTTTATATCTATCCCTCCAGTTTAAATCGCTGACTCCGTCACACCACCAGAGACCCCCGATCCCTGTAGGGGCAGGACCTCCACAAGCAGAATTTAAGAGTGGATAGCATTAAGTGATCCATGCTATAATGATTGTTCCTTTGTCTCTTTTAGAAATCAGATATTATGATGAACTGTGTACAGCAATGGCTGAAGAGTTGAATGCTGTCATTGTCTCCATTGAGTAAGTAATTTATGCCAATCATATAAATTTCTTTTTTGTTGTTAAGGAATTCTAGGTAACAGTCTAGATAATAAAGTAATCTAGTTACTTTATTTTGAAAGTGATAAAATAGTGTAAAATAAAAGGTCCAGGGTGGTGAAGTGATTTGCCAAAGGTCACAGTCAGCATAGTTTAAAAAAAAAAAAAAGATTTCTGATATAACAAAATTTCCTGAACTAACTTTGTAACACCTTGGACCTTGGGAATAGAAATAAGTGTTCAATAGATTTTAATGGTGTAGTTTGTAGTAGTAGCAGTAGTAGAAATGCTGATGTTTTAAGTTGTCTTTACCCCTTCTTAATAAGCCACTTTTCCTGGGCATCTAGGAAGAGTGTGAATCATAATGATAACAGTAGCAGTGCACAAATCATGATGTATGTTCCATGCCAGGCAGGGTGCCAGTGTTGCACACACATATCTCTCCTGCTTGAGGTCTTTGTTTAGGTAGCATCCTCTCGGCCAGGCCTTCAGTAACAAGCATGTATAAAATGTACCCCACCTTCTTCTGCTTCATTTCTCTCCACAGCTATCATTACTGTCTGACAGACCATATTTTTAACTTATCATATGTTTTGTGTACTACATGGAAATAGACAATATGAAATTTATAAAGGCAGGAATTTTAGGGGCTTTTGTTCATTTTGTCCATTGCTGAATCATTAGTGCCTTGGAAATGTCCTTAGCATATAGTGGGCAGTGAGTATTTATGGAGAAAATAAATGAAACTTCTTACTTAATTCTCATATATAAAGTATCCAGGATAAATATTATAATGCCCTCTTCATAAATGAGGAAACCCCAGAAGCAAAGTAATCTGCATGAGACCCAGAACCTAGCTAGTCACAGAGCCAGGTGGGGAAATTGAACCCAGATCTCATGGCTCTGAGTGCAGCTGCGTTTTTGATCCAGATCAAGCCAACATTGAAGGATGCACCGAGTGATGGAGCCGTGATATCTGTGAGCTTCCAAACCCTGAGCTCATTGGTTCTCCCCTTCCCTCCACCTCTCTGCCAGCTGTCCTCTTGTCCAGGCCTCACCGCCTCTTTGCTCCTACTCCAAATCTGAGATCTGAGGGAGTCCTTTCTTCTCGGGGTCATTTAGGCAGTTCTGACCAGGTGGACAAAGCCCTGGAGTCACACTGAGTGGTGCTGTTCCTCAGCAGATTGGCTCCAGACAACCCTGGGCAGCTCACCGGCCTTTCTGGACTCTCTCTGGTCCTCCCAGAGGAAGGCAGGGCTATTTAAGCAGCTGAGCCCCATGTTGGAGCAGGGATCCACAGCGTGAGGAACAAGCTTCAGGGCCTTCGGGTGGCTCCTCGTGGAACGCCCAGTCTTTGCAGGCCTGAGGAGAGGAGAGAAGCTGGACTTGCTTCACTTGGCACCATGAGGCTTCACTGCACACCACACAGGACTTACCCTCGGGGCTCCAATGTCAGCAGCGGGTGATATGCCCTAACCTGTTGCTATGTGCCCTTCTTCACCTGTCAGCATCTGTCTCAAGTGCAGCAGGTGTTCTTTGTTCCTTATACAACACAGAAGAATGGAGAAGGCGTTTTTGTTTTGTTTTGAGACAGGTTCAGCCTCCCAAGTAGCTGGGACCTGGCTCTTTTCCCAGTGGCTCACATTCTGAGCACACTGGGAGAATGCCTAATCCTACCTTGCACGTGACCTGAAGTAGCATGCCAGAGGCCACACAGCTAGGAGTGTGTACTTAGGATGTACTTGGCGCTGTACTGTGGCACCTCCTATCTGGTGGCTGCGCTGCCTAGAGTAGGCACAGTGGAGAGTTCAGATGAAAACAGTCCTCTCTGTGCTTTCTTAGGAGGCTGAGGTGGGAGGATTGCTTGATCCCAGGAGGTCAAGGCTACGTGAGCTATGATCGCGCCACTGCACTCCAGCCTGAGCAACAGTGAGACCCTGTCCCAAAACAAAACAAAACACCTTCTCCATTCTTCTGTCTTTTATGATAAACCTAGACTCAAAGAACACCTGCTGTACTTAAGACAGTGATTATTTTTCGATTAAACCTTCTTGAACACATCTTACCCAGTCAGGCTTAGTGGCTCATGCCTATAATCCCAGCTACTCTGAAGCCTGAGGCAAGAGGATTGCTTGAGGCTAGGAGTTCAAGAGCAGCTTGGGCAATATAGTGAGATCTGACTCTACACAAATAAAAATTAAAAAAATATGCTGGGCTTGGTGGTGCATGCCTGTAGTTCCAGCTACTCTGGTGGCTGAGGTGGCAGGGTTACTTGAGCCCTGGACTTCGAGTCCAGCTTGGGCAATAGAGTGAGACTCTGTCTTTAAAAAAAAAAAAAAAAAAAAAAGCTACTGGGAACAGAAATCACGTCTTCCTGTGGGGTCTCCAGCATCCTAGAACTAGGCTTACGGTGTGCATGCTAAGTAGATACATATTGGGTTGGGATGACTTGAAAGAGTTGTCACAGGAATCAGTTGAGACAGTTGATCCAAAAGGGTTTCAGAGGTCAAAACAGTAGGCAAAGCTGGGCTCCATGGCTCAGCCTGTAATCCCAGCACTTTGGGAGGCCGAGGCGAGTGGATTGGCTGAGCCTGCGGGTTCGAGACCCACCTAGACAACTTGGCAAGCCCTTGTCTCTACAATAAATCAAAAATTATCCGGGCATGGTGGTGCACACCTGTAGTTCTGGCTACTTGGAAGGCTGAGGCGGAACGAGAGCTGGAGCCCAGCGGATCGATGCTGGGGTGGCCGTGAGCATGCCACTGCACTCCAGCCTGGGCCATGGAGTGAGACTCTGATTCAAAAACACAAACAAACAAACAAACAGAAGAAACACTAGGCAAGGGTAGAGGATTAGTGCTATAGTCTGTAGAACAGAAAGACCAACTTACATATGTATTTATCAGCGTGCATGTGGAACTCACAGCACTTCTTTTTTGCAGAAAATAGAGATGATAATCCTTGAGAGGCCGCAGAGAGGCTTGTATATAGCCAGTTCTGTAGCTGAGGCCCAACCAACACTGTATGATCATGATGCTTCTCTTGGAAAGTGTGGTCCAGCTAACTTGGGGACATGCTTCTTCTCACTGGTTCATTTTCCCGTTTCTTTTATTCCACCAATAGTTATTGAATTCCTGTTTTGTGCCAGTTACTCTGATAAATGCTGGTGACATAACAGTGTGAGAAAGCGTGACTTACTTCTTGCCCTCATGGAGCTTACGATCGAGACAAGCGAACAGGTCTTGCGTAAGTCATGTTTGATGTAAGTAGAAGGGCAGGCGGCAGTGAGGCACAAGCAGGCAAGACCTTACCCTGCTGGAAGGAGCAGAAAAGGTGTCAAAAGAAAGCGATGTTTGACCAAGCCCCTGTGGATGACAGAGTGAACTGGCTATGGAAGGCCAAAGTGGTGTAGTGAGAGGGCTTGGGGGAAGGGAGGAGGCCAAGGGCACTAAGGAATCATGAGAGAAGACAGATGGAGGGTGTAATGGTTTCTGTGGTGACTAGGAAAACAGAGACGTGGTGGGCTATCCTGCATGTCCCCAGTTGGAGGGTAGAGCCTTGGCTCCCTGGAATTCTGCCTTCTAGCAGAATCTGTCTGGAGCCAGTTGTTCCTTATCCTCGAGGCCCACAGAAGTGACAGTGGGTCGTGGCCTTGCTTCGTGTGGGTTGGGGAAGGTATCATCTGGGAAAGCCAGGGGCAAGGGTTGGGCAGCCCTGGGAAGGAAGTCACCTCACAGGATGTGAGCACCAGGGCTGGGACTCCTTGACTGGTGTCACTAAGGTTGGCTCAAGAGTCTGGGGACAGACTGAGCACCTGAGGTAGGTAAAGGCCTTGAGTTACCAAAAAGTAGGCCGTATAGCAAGACTCCATCTCTACAGAAAGTAAAAATAAAACTAGTTGGGCGTGGTTATGCACACCTATAGTCCCACCCTCCCTCCTCAGGAGGCTGAGGTGGGAGGATTTCTTGAGCCCAGAAGTTCAAGGCTGTGAGCTTTGGCTGCACCACTGTACTCCAGCCTGGGCAACAGAGTGAGACCCTGTATCTGAAAAAAAAATTTTTTAAAGGTAAAGCTACTTAGTAGCTTCTATGACACTGTGCTATTTTTATATATTAGTTGCACAATAAGTACTTGGTAAACAAGCGGCAAAGTTTATCTTATCATAGCTAAGACACACAGATGTATCCACCTTTGTATAGCTAGGAAGGTCTTGTTTTGTGTTCTTAAACTTATTTTAGATTGACGATGCGTAATAAGCACAATTCTAGACCCGTAAGACCTGAGGAAGGAAATTCGGGATGATGAAGCAGGCGTTCTACACGGGACCCTGCTCTCCCGGGTGTGGAAAGCGGTTCCGAGCGTGTGGGGCTCCAGCTCGAGCGCCGCCCCCCGCCAGCTCTCCGGCCGCGTGGCGCGAGACCTGCCTCCGCCGCGCCCA